GACTTATTTATGTCTAGTGCATATCCCATTGCAATTTCAGTCCATTTCCTCTTGCTCCGTAGATATGGAGAACAGATGGTCACTAGTCTTATAACCTTCCAGAGAATGGAAGCTACCCATTGTAGCCCTCCCAGGTGGCACTTATTTTCATGACCAAAGAGGTTCAACATCATTTTTTTGCACACATTCCTCTTCTAGCCAATTATCTCATTTGAACCATATTGGATTTTCTTTGAAAAACTACATAGTGTTTTTCTTTGATTAAATGATTAAAATTCTCACATCACAAAAACATGAAAAGTGAGTTTCCCACTCACCTAAGATCCCTCAGTTTTTCTTTCTTGAAGCAGCTCTTTTCATCAGGGTCTCCTTCCAGGGAATTTTCTTCATGTATCTAAGTATGTATGATTATATTCTCTCCAAATTATCTTCATTTTTGTGTTAGTGAGGTTTCCATCACTTTAATGAAATACCTGACACAAGCTACTTATGATGTAAAGAGAGCTTTCAGTACATAGTGTTATGTCCTCAAGCTGTTGAATAATGGGGGTGGGAGGAAAGGGGTAAGGGAAAGTGACAGATGGGGGCTGAACTGACCAAAGTAAAGCATATTCTCAGCTGGGATACATTGAGAAATGCTTTTGAACATTGACTTTGGGATTAATAATGAATACAGGACTGTAAAATAGGTACAGTGGGAGGAGTACTTATGGGAGGGTGAGGGTGAAAGGAGATGAGGGTGAAGGAATGTGATTGATGGGCTTCTTCTACATACATGTACTAGAACAATGAAACCTCTTGCAATTGCTTTAAGTGGGGCGGAGAGGGGATTGAGGGGGGAGAGGGTGGAGGCATCTAACCAATGTAAGATGTAAGGCTATTTGGAATTGTCACAAAAAATTCCCCCTGTACAATGAATATATGCCAATAAAAGTGGAGAGAAAAAAGAGAGGTTTATTTTGGCTCATAGTTCTGAAAATTCGAATCCAGGATTGGGTGACCCTTTCCTTTGGGCCTCTGATGAGGGCAGCACATCATAGTGATGTGAAGAGAAAGAGAGAGAGAGAGAGAGAGAGAGAGAGACACTGGGGAGCCACAATCCCCTTTAAGAGCCACCTCCGATGATGTAAGGACTTACTCCTCCTACTAGGTCTCACCTCTTAAACAGCACTTCCCAATACTTCTGCCCTGGGGACCAAACCTTTTCATATGGGCCTTTGGGGGACATCATTCATATTCAAACTATAGCGACCTTCATTGCAGCAAATACTTATTAAGCTGCTATAATGTGTCAGACACTATATTAACTCTTGGGGCAGGACACAGAATAGAGATGTGTTTTCCCCATCCTTAGGAAGCTTACACTGCAGTAGGGGAAAAAGGCAAAGCCATAGTCTCTGTGCCAGGCGATGTGTGAACCATGAATACCATGGAGTTCATGTCCTTCCAGGGCATGATGTTCTGTGGAGGAGACCGATGAGCAAGCATGGTGTGAAGTATCAACATGTGGCATGGAGGTGTCATGAAGCTCCTTGATAATTGCCTCACAACTTCTTCTTGTAAGCCATGGGGGCGGGTCACAACAACCTAAGCCTTATGCCTAGTGGAAAGGAGAAAGAAGCCTTGGAGTCCTAGACTGGAACTCGGAGTCAGGCACTGAGCCAAACACCTTTCACATGTTGTGTCGTGTAATCTTTACAACAATGTGACATGAGTTCCATTATTTGTGTTTTGTAAATGAGGGCTATTGGGGCTCAAGGAACTGACCCTAAAGCACACAGCTGAGATTCAAGCTCAAGTCTATCTGTCTGCCAAGCCTGGGATCTTATCAACCACATCAAGCACAGCTTCTGTGCTTGGCGGTGAATGATGGCTGACTGATAGACCTCTTCTTTCCTCCTTCCCTTATGGAGAATCCTGGCATACAGATTGGTTGACACAGCCTCCTAGCAGATTGACTTTTTGCACTCAAAGCACAAGATGGAGAGGAAAGTGCCCTAGTCTGGGAGTCAGGAGACTTCAGCTTTAGCTTACAAGCTCTGTGACCTTGAGCAATTCATTCTACTCAGTGGACCTTAGGGTCCTCACCTGTGAAGGGCAGAGGCTGACAGGGATCATCTCTGGATCCTTGGTGGGATTTGATGATATTTTCATGGCCAATGATATTGTCATTATAGCTATAAGGTCTGGGACAAAAATTTCATCCCCCTCTCAAGAATGGTATAAAAACCAGTTCAGTAAATCTATTTTCAAGGCAATTTGAAGACTGAAATGTCCATTGAGGGTGAACAGCTGGCTTCACATTGCTAATAGTGTAAGATGTGAATGTGTTCAGGTCTTCTTGGCCTTTGCTTTCTGCTTCTAGTTCTGAACACCCCGCCCCCATTTTCTCAATAAAGTGAAATGAGCCTTAATTAAGTGAGCAAGTACCCATTTAATATGTCCAGCTTAATTGAAGCAATAATCAACTAGGAGTTGAAGATAATCCTTAATGAAAATTGGGAAAGAGCCCTGAAATTAATGGATTATTGCAGGTATGCAATAACCAGAGAACTTTGCTCAGGCTGATTTTATGCTCAGGAAAACAGCCCTGTGACGTGCTGCAAGCCACGAAAAGAGGATCTGTCCTAGTCAATAAGCCCCATAAAGCTAAGAGCACAGAGGCTGGTTGGATCCAGAAAAGGTGACCGAGGCATGGCCAGGAGATAACGAGTCTCCTGTTTCCTGCTTGTACCATTTCACATCAAATGTAAGGATTTACAGACCAGATTGGGCTATTTGCAAAGCAAATTCTTCTTTCAGACCCCACAGAGACACGGGGGTGGGAAGTTAAAGGGATTCTGTTCTCAGGTAAGCATTTCTCTTTTCTTTTCCTTCCCCCTTCCTTCCTACATGCCCTCCTTCCCTCCTCCTTCTTTTTCTTCCTTCCTTTACAATTGCATTTGATAGTACTGGGGATTGGACTCAGGGCCTCAGCCCCAGCCCCTTCCTTTACAATTTTTTAATTATGGAAGTAACAATTACTCATGAGAAAAGAACCAGCTTGTATGCAATTGTATGAATTATAAAATACGAGTTCTTAAATTCCTTTATCTCTTCTCTCTTCTTTGTTTCTCTTTTCTTCCTCTTTCTATTCTATCAATTTTTAAATTATAAAATGATGTATTCTCATTGCAAAATAATCAACCAGTACATAACCATAAGTGATATAAATCTTTTATTCCCGTCTTCCTTCTCTGTTCTTCCTGTTTGTCCTAAACTTCTTTCTGCTTCCCTTCTTTTCTCTTTTCCTTCAATCTTTAAAATTATATAAATAATACGTGGTTATTGCACAAGAATCAAGCAGTGTAGAATTTTATGGTATATAAAGGAAATGTCTTCACTCCCTACCCTTTCCCAATCTACCTTTTCGTGCCTGACATATAGACATACCTAATTCCTTTTAGTGGTTGCATAGTATTCTGTCATTGAATGTCCATTGATTTATTTATTGGATGCCAGGTAAATTTCTGAAGCATGTCTTTGGAATTGTTATAAAAGTTTAGAGGAAATAGAAGGAAGATATAAATTGGCTTGTTTGCTGCTGGAAATTCCATTTTATAGATAGTGATCGTATCCATTTCTATAGCACTTTATACTTTGAAAATTGCCTTTAAAATATCATCATCTTATTTGGTTCTCTTTTAGAGAAGCTGTGGGAAATAGGCAGATCATTATCTACATTTTTATAGATAAGGAAACTGAGTCCCAGGTAAATTAAGGAACAGAAATCTGCACGGTCTCACAGCTAGTTACTGATTCTCAGCGTAATCATTGTATGACATATAAATTTAAGCTGCATTTCATTTTGCAAGTCATAAAAGATTTAGGTACCCCCTTACTTCTATGCTTGTCATTTAGACAACCCATCCAAGCCATACGAATTCTCTTATTATTCTAATGACAAAGAATACTTGATAAATATGAGGAGGCAGATTAGTGGCCGGTGCTTATAGCAAGTATTCCCTAATTGGTTTCTGCTATATTCAATGAAAGCAAGCCTGTTAACTCCAAATCCCACTTAGAAGTGGAAAGAAATACAGTATGTCACATTAGCCTATTGGAAAAGATACACTTAAATCAGAAAATGCCCATCGGCATTCTCCAACCAGCTTTCTGTAATGTATTTCAGTAAGATTTGTGGTTTGAACCACTATTGTGGTTGGAGAAAAGGCTAGCTTTCAGTGTGTTTTCCAAATAAGAAATTTCAGTTACAATTAATTAAAGAGAGAAGCTGGGCAAATGTAACGAGATGGTCAAGTTTCTCTACACAGATCTGCTTGAAGAATTGGAATGATTCAATGAGTTACTTTTGTCAATCAGCTTGTGTTGTACACCATTCCTTCAACCCAGTGTAGACATGTATGAAGACCTCATATTGTCTCCCACAAATATATGTAATTATGTGTCAATTAAAGATTTTTCAAAAACCAACTAAAAGAGTTAAGGAGCATTAAAACTAAGTAGTTGGGTTGAAGTCGTGTGCATTAAGGTTGAGTGCATTACACTTTGTTTTTGTGTTTTGTGTTATTAGGGTTAGAACCCAGGGTCTCATGTTTGCTAAGCAAATGGTCTTGCACTGAGCTACATCCCCAGCCCTGGATGCATCATGTTTTGTAATTATGCATTTCATGTCTGTCTTCCCTACTGGGATAACTGCTCCCTGAGGGCACTTTTCTCTATCTTATCTACTCAGTACTGTTTTCCCAGTGGCTAGCACAGTGACACATAGTAGGAATTTAACAAACTTTATTGATCAAGTGTACAGATAAATCAGTCAGTGACGTTTCGGTCAGGGTGCATAACTCAGGCAAGTGTCTATCTTGGGATTCACTGACATGGTCTTAAGTAATAGGAAAAAGCCTTAGGTAGAATGGAAGGAAGTATGGTCACATACCCTTAGAAATTGTTCTGAATCTAAGCTGGGCATATTTTGACTTTTTGAATGCAGCTTTCAGACAATGAAAGAACACATCATCTATCAGAGGCTTTATGGATTGGTTGTCATGTCAAGTTTCATGTTTCTATCAGGTAAGAAAATGCATTCTTACTATCCCTTCCAATGCATAGTAGGTGCTAGAAAAAAAGCAAAAACTCCACTCTGTTACCTCTCAACCACCTCTTATTGGTCACTATGGCTGTAGAACAAGCTGAAACTCGAGTAAATGAATGTGTTTGTTCAGTGTTTTTGCACAACTAATGGTGAACTGGCCTCAAACAGGCAGTAGCTTGGACTCTGAAATGCCATTTGATGGCCAATGTACACCTACCAGAAGATGTTGATTTTGTTTTGGGCTGTTTCCTCTCATATGTACTGCTTCATCTGAAGCTCTCTGGGGCTTATGATATTGTGTTTCTGCATCCATTATATGTATACGGCAATGATCACAGAATACAGGTGAAGAAACCGAGCTGTGCCAAAATCTGCAAATTGATTCGTAGTGACACTTGGGCATTATGTCTGGAAGGGCCCAGCCCTTACCTACACTCTGTGACAAGAGTGGAGATTGAATCTTTGCATTAATTTTGTAGTGAATGTGATTAAGACTGAAGTAGCTGGTAATTTGGAAACTTGAGAAGGTTGTCTTGAAAAATTGCAATCTCGTCCATATTAAGGAAATTCAGTTGATAACATTGCTCATTTAGCACATCAGTCTTTAGATAAAAGGTCATTGCCAGTGAGTGACAATACTTGATGAAATTCACCTGTGGTTTAAACTGAATAATGCTCAGGTTTCACAGCTAATCTTCTGGAAAAATACCAAATCACCATCACCATCAATAGCAAACACCAACTGACTGCTTGAGTGCAGGCCTGATGGGAAGTCATGATTTTCATAATAAAGGTTGAGATAGGGCCTCCAGGGCACAGTGGCAACTCTGTCACCTGGCCTTGCCTACCTGCTAAGATGTTGATTTGTCTTTCCCCGACCTGCTCCTGCAAAGGCAAGAAACTTGTTTTCTCTATTTCTTTATCCAAAATATTCAGGACAGGTCTTGACACATAGATTAGACACTCAGTACATGTGAACTGATTTAATAAAATATTGCAATTTGAAATGATGAAGCTGTAGACATCTGTATGGTGGCATTGTATATGACACAAGCCCTCATGAGTTTAGTGTGAAGAGCCATAGGTCATCTAGGAACAGCAAGATATAGGAGTATAGTACAGGCATGGGATAAACAACTGAAGCATATGTGGCCCTGAAAAGTATGGATTAGTTTTTTTTGAGGAAAGTCATTGATCAGTGAAAATTATGATAAATGTGCAGATTTAAAACCTGCAAAGGGGCCAGGTATGGTAGCTACTTGGGAGGCAGAAATGGAGAGGATTGTGGTTTGAGGCCAGCCTAGGCAAAAAGTTAGCCAACCCCGCCCCGCCCCTCCCAATCAATAAGCCAAGTGTGATGTCACATACCCAAAATTCCAACTACACAGGAGATGCAGGGAGGATCAAGGTCTGAGGCTGGATCCAGGCGAAAAGCACAAGACCTTACAAAAAAAAGAATAAAGCAAAAAGGGCTGGGAGTGTCGTTCAAGCAGTAGACCTCCTATCTAGCAAACACAAGATCCTGAGTTCAAACCGAAGTAGCAAAAACAAACAAACACCCTGCAGAGGTCACTTTGAAGTACCACAAGGGTGTCCAGACTGTTTTAGTGTCAAATTATATGAGTCAAGGCAATGATTCTTTTAGGATATCAAACAATTAAGTACAATTGTCCTTCCGTCGGTGAGAAATGCATCACTTTCTTCCTGGAAAAAGATCCTGTCCTTGAATCAGTAGTATAACTAAAGTTTAGTTCCCTTCAGGCTCCAGACGAGTCACCAGCCTCCTAACTGTGAGAGTCATTGTGGGCAAGAGATTAAGGTCAGACCAAGCAGAGGGTGACTCAGAAATGCTCTAACTGGATGGAGCCAGAGCGGAGCAAACTGTTCGTAGAAGAATACCACAGGTCAGGAAGAAGCCAGATCTGTCATAAAGTCCAAGAGGCAAGAGCAGGGTGGGCAGGAAGGGTCAAAGAGTGAGCTCCAGCGCTGATGCAGCAGGAGGAAAGGAATAAGCAGGAATTCTTGGAGAGGGCCCTGGTCTCAGGCTGTCAGAAAGACTGAAGTTCCCTGGCGTCCTGTCTTAGTTGGCTTGGGTAGCCAGTACAAAAACACCATAGACTGAGTGGTTTAAACAACAGACCTTTATTTCTCACAGTTGCAGAGGACAGGAAATCCAGGATCAAGTTGTTGACCAATTTGGACCCTGCTGAGGGAGAGAGAGAGAGAGAGAGAGAGAGAGAGAGCGCAAGCTAGGACAGGTTTTGAGTAATTTGCTTTTTGGCAGTGTTGGGATTTGAACTCAGGGCCTTGTGCTTGCTAGGCAGGCACTCTACCACGTGAGCCATGCCTCTAGCCCTACGACAGGCTTTGTTTTGTGAAAGAATATAATGTGTTTTACAGCATTCTTTTTTTCAATAAGAAAACATTTTATTTATTTTTTATTGCTGTGCTGGGTCGGGGTACATTGTGGCATTTACAAAAGTTCTTCAAATATATCAAATACGAATTCACCCTTCCACCATTCTCCTTTATCTCCCTCTCCATTCTTGATGTCTGGAAAATGACTAAAACTTTGTGATGCATGTTTACAGGGTGGATCTATGTGTTAATACCTTAGGACCTTTTGCTTCTATTTGAGCAGGACTCAGCTTTCTTGATAAGTTCTCACACAGGCAGGAATCCTTTTGACACAGGAGGAGAGTCATGTGAAAGAATCAGTCTTCATGCTGGAGAAGCCAGCTTGGGCAGTGTCAGTCAGGATGTGGTAAGCTTGAAGAGGCAAAGAAACTCTTCATCTGAGAGGCATTTGTGCTTTCTGGAAGAACTTATTTGGTGAAAGGAAGTGGAGGGTGAATTTTAAGTAGAAATTCTAAATTTCTGTATAAACTCTAGAACTGACCCATCCAATATGGTAATCACTTATAAAACATGGCTTTTAAAGTTTTAACTAATTAAGATAAAATAAATTATTCGGTTCAGAGTAGCAGAAGCCACATTTAAATGCTTAGTTGCTACCATATTGGGCATAGTGCTGGAAAGTTGTGAAGACTGGCCCATTGAGAAAAAACTTGTACAAATAAAAAACTAGCTTTATTGAAATATAATTTATATACCATAAAATCTACCCATTTAAGGTGTACACTTCAATGATTTTTGGTGTATTTACAAACTTGTACAACCATCACTTCTCTATCTAATTCCAGAAGATTTTCATCACCTCAAAAAGAAACATCAAATTCTCAACTCATTCCCCTCCCTCTCAACCGCAGACCTTGGCAATGATTATTCTGCTCTCTTTCTATGTATTTGCCTCTTATGGACATCTCATACAAATGGAATCAAACTTATTTGGCCTGTTGTGATTGGCTTCTTCCACTTAGCATAATGTTTTTAAGGTTTGTCTGTGTGTAGCCTGTATCATCAGCTCATTCCTTTTTATTGTTTGTTTAACATTATTTAATTATATGGATATATCTCATATTTTTCATTCATCAGTTGATAGACATTTGAGTGGTTTCTGGTTTTGACTGGTATAGTTAATACTGCTGTGAACACTTGTGTATAGGCTTTTGTGTGGACATATGCCTTCACTTCTTTTTGGGAATGCATCTAGGAGTGAAATTGCTAGGTCATATGATAACTTTATGACAAAGATTTTGAGGAACTTGCAGGCCATTTCCCAAAGCGGCTGGATGATTTTACATCTCCACTAGCAGTGTATGACAGTTGTAACGTCTCCACGTCTTGGCTAACATTTGTTGCTGTCTGCTTTTTTGATTACAGCCATCCTAGTGGTGTGAAGTAACACCTTGCTGTGGTTTTGATTTGCGTTTCCCTACGACTCTAATGTTTTGAGCATCTTTTCTAGTGCAAGAACAGATATTTTACCTGACGATACTCAGAGCTGTTGGCCAGGAAGATTATACCTTGTAGACTCTGAAGCATATATTTCTCTTCTTATGCTTTTGCCAGATACATATTTCCTTGAGTTGACACAGCCATAGTGCTTTTGGAGTCAGCCTAGGCTAGATAAGAAAGGCTCATGTGACAAATAGCATTATTCAGAGTGACTGAACATGTCATTTAGGAGGGTGATCAACACTTATAATCTATCTCAGGCCAGTATGTTGTTGAAAAGTCATTCATCAACAGTGAAAATATTGATGAATAATTGCATAGCCTGAAGAGTTGGCCTCAAGTGCCATTTCCATCCCCTGTCATTTGCCTCCAGGATAGGGATGGAGTTCTAAGATTCTTGGTTTGGGATTTTATTACCTAGGCATGTCTGAGTTAGTCTAGTAGGCCAAGGTTTATGTGAGCTGTTAACATCACGGTATAGAGGCCTTGGTAGGGAGGCTGAGGGCCTAGCAATTCCAACTGTGAGGTAATGGTCTGTCGTCTTTCCTCTTCTGGAAATGAGTCCCATTACCCAGCTACCAATCCTGCATCCTTAGATCCACATCCAATCCACTGAGTCTAGTGCATGCCACTTCTAAAATATGTTCCAAGTCAAACCTCTGTCTCTATCTCTACCCCACTCTGTACCCTTTCCTCCCTTCTCTACTGCTCTGGCATGATCTGAGCCACCTTTATCTTCTCTCAGATCACTTCAATAGCCTTCCACCTGGAATCTCTGCTCTACAATCTATTTTCAACACAGCAGCCAGAGTGATCCTTTAAAATATTAACTCAGACCATACCACTCCTTATTTATTTACTTATGTGTTTATATTTATTTTGGTGGGACTGGGATTTGAACTTAGTGTTTTGTGCTTGCAAAGCAGATACTCTACTGCTTGAGCCATACCTCCAGTCCATTTTTCTCTGGTTATTTTGGAGACGGGGTCTTGTGAAGAACTATTTCCCCAGATTGGGCTTGAACCATAATCTTCCTGATCTCAGCCTCTCAAGAAGCTAGGATCACAGGTGTGAGCCATAAGTACGCTGCAGACAATACCACTCTTTCACTCAAACTTGC